AAATGTTTTATAGATGGCATTTACCACCTGCTAGGTTAGCTAAAATGTTTCAAAATATTTCTAGCAAATGTTGGAAATGTAATCAAAAGACGGGCACATTTTATCACATGTGGTGGACTTGTGCTAAAACAAAAAAAAATGGGGGGCAAAGATACACAGGTGGCTAGAAAAGATAATAGGGAGACATGTGAAAAATCAAACAGAAAGAAGACACAGAATATTATCAAACTTGGAAGTTATTTCACCAGTAGTTGGAAAAAAACGGGTGGAGAGTAAGAACAGAATCTGCATTGTTAAGCAAATTAAATCCCTACAAAACACGAGGTTTATTAAGCAATAAGAAATGTAATTAATAGAAAATTAATAAAATTTATTTAAAAAAAAGAAGTTGGGGCGCTCCATCACTGGGGTGAGGGGAGTTTTTCAGAAGAGATTGGACAACCATTTAGAACATAGAATAACAGAGTTGGTGGGACCTTGGAGGTCTTCTAGTCCAACCTCCTGTTCAAGCAGGAGATCCTATACCATTCCAGACAAGTGGTTGTCCAGTCTCTTCTTAAAAACCTTCAGTGATGGAGCACCCACAACTTCTGAAGGCCAGCTGTTCCCCTGGTTGACTGTTCTCACTGTAGGAAGTTAGCACCCACCCCTTTCCTGGAAGAATGAAATATTTTAGGAAATATGAAAAAGGCAGAATATTATATTTCCTTGGATGAGAAATGGATAAGCATGTTTTGAAGCAGCTCCCATCTTCCTGCAACCATCCTTTGTCAATGGGCCATTAAGGTTTGGGCCAGTCTATTCTACATAACAAAGATCTACCTCCTTCAGGCAGAGCCATAGTAAGAATTGCCAAAGATCCAACAAAGATAGGATTAGCCCTCTACACAATAGCAGCAGAAACTCACCACATGTGACCTGGGAAGCCCATGTGACCATCAGCCAGCAAGGCTAGCTAAGACCCCCACCCCCTGGGAGTCTGAGAACCAATCAGGATACTCTTTCGGGGCCCCACGAAATGCAAAACCAGAAAGAGCATAAAAACCCGTGGACTCGCTGTATTCGGCCCTTTTCTGTTCAGAAACTCAAGCCATGAGATCCTGTCCACCATTAAACCATCTTTCCAAGCAGTCTCCATGTTTCCAGTGTCTGTTTCCCCACTTGGAGCAGAACCTAGAAGGAGATTTCTTCCAACATCACCATTAGCAATTTCTCCTTAGTTCTAGGTTGCTTTTCTCCTTAATTAGTTTCCAACCATGGTTTCTTGTCTTGCCTTCTTGAGCTTTGGACAATAAGTTGACCCTCTCTTGTTTGTGACAGCCCCTCAAATACTGGAAGACTGCTGTCATATCTCCCCTAGTCCTTCTTTTCAGTAGACTAGACATACTCAGTTCTACATTTCTACATACCTACATGTGTTTGAAGTGGCATAGGTTCTCCTGCTTGAAGTTGGACTACCAGACCTCCAAGGTCCCTTCCAACTCTATTATTTTATGTTCTAATTCCTGGTCTCTCAAGTTTCCAGCTTGATGCCTTCACCACTTCATCAAACTGTCTCTAAAACTAGTGTGAGTTTAGTTTAGTTTAGTTTATTTGATTTGTATACCGCCCTACTCCCGAAGGACTCAGGGTGGTGAACAGTCAAACAATAAAATACATAGATACAAAAAATTTAAAAACCAGATAAAATCAAATTAAATCATTTTGGCCCAGACAGATTAAAACACCCCAATAATTTAAAAACAGATTAAAATTTACATATTTAAAAAAGGGAAGAAATTAGGCCAAGCCCGCCTGATGGAATAAAAAGGTCTTCACAGCGCGGCGGAAGGTGCGCAGATCCGGGATCCTCCGTATCTCCGGGGGGAGCTCATTCCAGACAGTAGGTGCCCCCACAGAGAAGGCTCTCCCCCTAGGGGCTGCCAGTTGACACTGTTTGGCTGACGACACCCGGAGGAGCCCCTCTCTATGAGAGCGTACTGGCCGGTGGGAGGCTATTGGTGGTAGTAGGCGGTCCCGTAGATAACCAGGTCCTAAGCCATGGAGCGTTCTAAAGGTGGTAACCAAGACCTTGAAGCGCACCCGGAAGACCACCGGGAGCCAGTGCAGCTCGCGCAGGAGAGGTGTCACATGGGAGCGCCATGTCGCTCCCATTACCACCCGCGCGGCCGCACTCTGCGCCAGTTGGAGCCTCCGGGTGCTCCTCAAGGGGAGCCCCATGTAGAGAGCATTGCAATAGTCCAAATGCTAACATTCAGATTCAGAACTACATAACACTTCAATGGGAGACCTCTAGGAAACTCCAGGACTGAAAGATGGACCGGGCACATCCCAGAAATGGCAGGCACGTTGTCAGACAACCCTTTTTGAGGTCGCTGCCAAGAAAATGCCCTGGACAACGACTCGTGAAATCTCCAGAAGATTGTTGAGATGGGGACAAGGAGGCTTTAAATATTGTGATGAAAGATTCCGTGTGGGTGGCGGTTAAAGAGAAATCAAGATGACCTCGTTCCTAGGCAGAGGCGGGATTGGCTTAAAAAATGGCAAGGCCTTCTACTCCACCGTGCTGGCTGTCGATCTCAGAGAAGAATCTGAAAGCAAATGCAATTTGGTAAGGTCAGCCAGAGACAATTCACAATAAGCAGTCCAACTGAAGTACAGAATTTAGAACATAAAATAACAGAGTTGGAAGGGACTTTGGAGTTGAAGTCCAAACTTCTTAGAATTCCAGGAGTTGAAGTTGGAGTTCACAATAAGAAGCCCAACTGAAGCACAGAACTTACAACATAAAATAACAGAGTTGGAAGGGACTTTTGGAGGTCTTCTGGTCCAATCCCCTACTCAAGCAGGAGATCCTATACCATTTCAGACAAGTGGTTGTCCAATCTCTTCTTAAAAATCTCCAGTGTTGGAGCAACACACCTTCTGGAGGTAAGTTGTTCTACTGGTGAATTGTCCTCACCGTTTAGGAAATTTATCTTTAGTTGTAGGTTGCCATCCTAGACTAGGCCAAATCCAAAAATGGCAGGGAATACCTAGCAGGCTGGTACTTTTGACGAATCAGCCATCAATAGACACATAGGCATGGACAACATCTACAGACTATGCAAAAGAGTCAATCAACCAACCCAAAAGAGAACAAAAAGATTCCAGCACCTCTCCACCAGCACCCAGATCAGCAGAGATTAACTCCAAGGTGAACTTCAGATCAGCAATTAGGTAAAACAAGACCTCAATCAAGAAACTACCAAAGAGCCATCAGCAAACAATTCAATCAAAGAATGTCTAAGACCAAACCCACCCCCACTGACAGGGCAAGACACCAGACTATGATGAGGATGAGAGAGGGTTAGGTTTCCTTCTCTTCCTCTCCTCTTCTGGTTGTTGTTGCTGCTGTTGTTGTTGCTCCTCCTCCTCCTCCTCCTCCTCCTCCTCCTCCTCCTCCTCCTCCTCTTCTTCTTCTCCTCCCCTCCTCCTCTTCTTCCCCTTCTCCTCCTCCTTCCTCCTCCCCTCCCCTCCTCTTCCCTTCTCCTCCTCTTCCTCCTCTTCTTCTCCTTCCTCCTCCCCCCTCCTCTTCCCCTTCTCCTCCTCTTCTTCTCCTCCTCCTCCCCTTCCCCTCCTCTTCTCCTTCCTCCTCCCCTCCTCTTCCCCTTCTCCTCCTCCCCCTCCCTCCTCTTCCCCTTCTCCTCCTCCCCCTCCTTTCTCCTCCTCCTCCCCTCTTCTTCTTCTCCTTCCTCCTCCCCCTCCCCTCCTCTTCCCCTTCTTCTTCTTCTCCTCTTCTTCTCCTCCTCCCCTTCCCTCCTCTTCTTCTCCTTCCTCCTCCCCTCCTCTTCCCTTCCCCTTCTCCTCCTCCCCTCCTCTTCTCCTCCTCCTCCCCTTCCCCTCCTCCTCTTCTTCTCCTTCCTCCTCCCCCTCCCTTCCTTCTCTCCTTCTCCTCCTCCTCCCCTTCCCCTCCTCCTCCTCTTCCCCCCTCTTCTCCTCTCCTCTTCTCCTTCCTCCTCCCTCCTCTTCCCCTTCTCCTCCTCCCCCTCCTCTTCTCCTCCTCCTCCCCTTCCCCTCCTCTTCTTCTTCTCCTTCCTCCTCCTCTTCTTCTTCCTCCTCCTCCTCCTCCTTAAAAACCCCAGTCTCTTCAGGCACTGATGATATTACCTAGTTAGGGTCATGAAACGCCTGCAGGAAAACAAGCAAGCTCAGAGAGCCCCAAGGATCCCTCCTTTCAACCCTGAGCTACAACATATTCTCCTTTATTGGTATGTAGGATATGAGAAAATTCAAAAATAAAATAGTATGTAGGTATATAGGGTAGAAACGCATATAAGCGAAGATTCAATTTTGCTCAGGCAGGGAGTTGGACTGGATGACCTGCAGCATCCCTTCCAGCTCTGCTACTCCATTAAATTTGTTAGACATTATTCTGCTTTAAGATAGTTGGAGAGAAGAACATACCAATAGGTAACAATGTTGTGTTTGAATAGATCTTCTTTTGTTTGAGGCCCCGTTAGAAAGAGGCCCACTCTTGAATGCCAAGGCAATGGAGATAAGAAAGAGCTATGTTTGCAAAATATTTTATGGGTAGTTATAGGGAGGTGTTAGAGAAAGAGATGATGATCTCTCTAAAAGGTGCTTCGGATTAGCCGTGATCGGTCCCTGGACCTGATCGTGGGGCGTGGGGGGTGTCGGGATAGGGAACTATCAAATGTAATGCTTTTGAAACTTCCGGTGTGACTTCCTGGCTCAAACTCCTTGTTGAGATCTGCTGGGATATACCCCCCTATTTTGCAAAATTGTTTTTATTTTTATTTTATTTTTTTAATAAAGCCTCTTTGTTTTCATCGACCCATGCTTGTTGGTTGAATTCATTTCCAACAATACCCACCCAGCCGGTCATTAGGGCCGAGAACCGGTTGTTAAATTATTTTAATCCCACCACTGAATATAACCAGTGATGGGTTGCTCCCGGTTCGGCCCGGTTCGGCCGAGCCGGTAGCGGTGATGATGTGACGTCACCGAACCGGTTCTCTTTGTTTGGGAGCTGGGCCCTCCTGCCCGCCCCCGCGTTATTCCTACCTTTATTTCTTCTTTTTTTAGCTCAGCTGATAGGCGTAGCAGAGTGGATTGCTGCACCTCAGCTGGGCAGAAACCTAATGCACTTGCGCAGAGCGCAAGTTCGATGCACATGCGAGCATGTGCACGGCGATCGTGCGCAGAGCACGTGCATGAAGAGAATCGGTGGTAACGCCGGTTGGAACCCACCACTGAATATAACCGTGCATAACCGAGATCTGCTGGGATATACCCCCCCCTATTTTGCAAAATTGTTTTTATTTTTTTAATAAAGTCTCTTTGTTTTCATCAGCCCATGCTTGTTGGTTGAATTCATTTCCAACAGTAGAGATCACTTCCTTTATGTCAGTGATGGCTAACCTTTCTGCCGTCACGTGCCAAAAGCAGGGGGAGGGGGGAGGGGGTCGCGGGTGCGGGTGCCCCACCCTCCCGCGCATGCGCACGTGACCCCCCCACACTTCCCCCTGCTTTTGGCACGCGATGGCACGGTGGGCTCAGTTGTTCTGTCCCCGTCTCACACACCCACCCCCACAGACAGGCAACAGCTAAAGAACTCAGCCGACAACAGTTTATCTTGTATCAGAATTGGCAGCAACCCAGTAGCTGGCTGCCAGGTATTCTTTACTCACGAGGGGGGAGTTTCTCCCTTAGTCCAGGAACAAAGCCAATACACAATAATCAACAAAGTCCAGTAAATACAAAGAAGGTCGCCCGATATCCGTTTTTTGCTTGTCACAGAGCAGAACCGGCCACCACACCCTCTTTTATACCCTGTGGGGTGTGGTCCAGTGACTCAGCCTAATCCCGGGCACGCCTCTTCTTCTATTGTGCACGCTTATCTCTGCGACGCTGCTGAGGATCCAGCCAAGACTCATCTCCCTCATTACTGTCCACCTATGGCTACGTGGATGTGCTTGGCCCCAGGCCTATCTCTTGACCTTCGGTGGATACCGAAGGCATTGCCAGAGAGGAGGGTCCTGGAGAGGGAGGCCTTGCCAACTCCTCTCCTTCACTCTCGGAGTCCTCTCCTGCCGATAACACAGGCTCAGGTAACGGAGCCACAACACCAGTAGGCTTGTTTTTTCCCCTCTCCAGGCTCCAGAGGCTTTCTAGGAGCCTGGGGAGGGCAAAAACAGACTTCCCCATCCCCCCCGGAGGCCTTCCCGGAGGCCGGAAACAGCCAGTTTCCCGACTTCCGGTGGAACCGGAAGGCCTAAAAATCAGTGGGCTGGTGCACTCATGCGCGCTGGAGCTGAGCTAGGGCAACACTCACGTGCCCACCAATATGGATCTGCGTGCCACCTGTGGCACCCGTGCCATAGGTTCGCCATCCTGGCTTTATGTCTTAAACCCGAAAATAAATTGGTAATCCCAACATTGTACAGCTAGTCCCCCGATTTACGCCTGCAGCTGTTAAATTAGTCACACAATTGTTAAGTGAATCTGGCTTCCAAAATGACTTTGCTTGTCAGGTTGCAAAAGGTGACCCCAGGATTGGACTCTGCAACCGTCATAAATACGGGTCAGTTGCCAAGCGTTTGAATTTTGATTACACGGCCTCAAGGATCCTTCAAGTGCTCATATGTGTGAAAAAGAAAGAAGACCTTAGAGGTCTTCTAGTCCAGCGATCCCCAACTTTTTGGACCTCAGGGACCACCAACTTCATGTCACTCAGGTCGAGGGGCGCCTTGCCGGCTTCTACTCACCCCACCCCTCCCAGCCACTCCTCGCCTGCCCGCCCAGGCTCCTTAGGGCCCCAAGAGGAAGCAGTTGTTGGAGATAAGCAGCCACCATGAGAAAGAGTTTATTTTTAAATTTTTTTTATTAATCATATTTCTATACCGCCCACTCTCCGAGGACTCTGAGTGGCTTACACCAAAGACAGTCTACTAAATAGCATATTGCCCCCTAACAATCTGGGTCCTCATTTTACCCACCTCGGAAGGATGGAAGGCTGAGTCAACCTTGAGCCGGTGAGATTTGATCTGCTGAACTAGCAGTCGGCTGAAGTAGCTGCAGTACTGCACTCTAACCACTGCGCCACCTTGGCTCAACAGTTGGCAAAACAGCTCAGTTCAAAATGGATCTGGCTGAGAAGGAGGCTCAGCAGAAGCACCTCACTGAGGACTAGGAGCATAGGCTTTCCAAGCAGAGGGAAGATCTGCGGGAGTGCAAGGCCAGGTGCCAGCGCCTGGAGGCTCAGCAGGCTGAGATGGTCAGCCAGTTCCAGGCCATGATGCAGTCCCACTGGAACAAGGCCCTCCCGCTCTTCGCCACCAGCAGCGCTTCCCTCCAGCTCTTTGCCCAAAGCCCCCTCCCCAGGAGGCTGAAGCAGACCCCAAGTCAGAATTTCTACCCCCCTCCGACCCACACAAAAAGACCCCAAACGGGTAGACTCTCTGCAGCAACACAAACATTCATTGCACGTATCCATCCCAGGGGCCGTAGTTTGAGGACCCCTGATTTAGTGCAATATAAAAAATGCAAATAATTTTTCTGCGGACCACCAAAATTTTCTCACGGACCACCAGTGGTCCACGGGCCACAGGTTGGTGATCGCTGTTCTAGTCCAGCCCTCTGCTCATGCAGGAGGCCCTATACCATTTCAGATCATAAACGATAATAAGTTACTTTTTGTCAGTGCCATTGTTAACTGTGAATGGTTACTAAATGTTGTAAATTGAGGACTTCCTGGATTTTGCAATGCCCTGAATAGTCATTTAAACAATGAGTTTGTGACTCATTGGGTGACTTGTGCTACTTTACCTGAGCTTTGGCTTGACGGGAAATAAGCAACTGATGGTGTATCCAAACGAACAGTCCTTATTACACTTCTTTCAACATTGGGAGTTAAGAGCTGCCTTGCTACACCTAGAAACCTCGCTGCCCCATTTTTGACTAGTCTAGCTTGTTGTGTGAATCCAGATTGACTGTTTTGTGATCCTTGGGTTCCGTGACTTGAATCAATTTGACTTATCAGATTTGCAGATGATACTAAGGTGGCAGGAATTGCCAACACCCTAGATGATAGGCTCAGGATCCAGCTGGATCTCGACATAATATATTTAGACTTCAGCAAGGCATTCGACAAAGTAGACCACAACCTACTTCTTGGCAAGCTAGAAAAAAGTGAGATAGCTAGCATCAACTACCAGATGACTTTGTAACTGGCTGACAAACCATACTCAATGAGAAGTCCTTAATGATACTACATCTACATGGAGGGAAGTAAGCAGTGAGGTACCACCAGGTTCCGTCTTAGGTGTGGGAATGCGGTGGCACAGTATATGTGTAGACCAGTTTAACTGGTTGGACACTGTATGGAGCTTGGCACCGAAATAATCTGAGTAGAAAAAGTGGGTTCATATGGATACTCTCTGAAGGGCCCTATTCGTTCTCTCTTTGTTCATAACATAGGCTGTGCCTGCATTAGCAGAGACATCTCCTTGTAGAACATTCCTGAGGCTTGAGGTAATCTGATACCTCAAGATGGGCCTCCCAGCTAGCAGCAAATATGATAAGTTTTGTTTTTACATTAGGTATCGCTTTCCTAGAATTCACATGATTTACTGTAATATGGTAGGATGTGAAAGTTATGTCCAGATATGGAGAAAATCCTTTGTATCACAGATGTAATATGAGAATGTATAGCTGTAATCATGCCTTCTGATACGCCCTATACCCTTGTATAATAGAAGAGGGTGACGGAGTCAGCTCTCTGCGCTCTCTCATCCTGAGAAACACCTGTCCTTGTGTTATCTCTAATCTGGACTACTCATGAGAAGCCCGCCAGGATGAATGCAACATTAGGCCCAGTACTCTTCAATATCATTATAAACGACTTAGATGAAGGAATAGAAGGGGAACTTACCAAATTTGTAGATACTAAGCTGGCAAGAATAGCCAACATCCTAAAAGATAGGGTCAAGATCCAGATGGATCTTGACAGACTTGAACACCGGCCCTATCTAACAACATGGAATTCAGTGTAGAGAAAAATAGAGTCTTACACTGAGGTAAGAAAAACCAAAAGCACACATATAGACTGGGTGAAACCAGGCTTAATAGCTGTAACTGTGACAGAGATCTTGGAGTCTTAGTGGACAACCAGGTAAATATGAGCCAACAGTGTGCAGCGGCAGCCAAAAAAGCCAATGCAATCCTAAATTGCATTAACAGAGAGATACAATCAAGATCAAGGGAGGTACTAATACCACTCTATAAAGCCTTAGTAAGGCCACACCTAGAACACTGCATCCAGTTTTGGTCACCACACTATAAAAAAGATGTTGAGACTCTAGAAAAAGTGCAGAAAAGAGCAACCAGGATGATTAGGGGACTGGAGGCTAAAACATACGATGAACGGTTGCAGGAATTGGGCATGGCTAGTCTAGTGAAGAGAAGGACCAGGGGAGACAGGACAGCAGTCTTCCAATATTTGAGGGGCTGCCCCAGAGAGGAGGGGGTCAAGCTATTTTCCAAGGCACCTGAAGGCCAATTGCAGATACAAATCTGGTTCTGAAACTGCGCAATAAAACTGTCTCTGGCTGACCCAGGAATGTTGTTTGGTCCCATCATTCCATAACCAGACCTTGGAGGTCTTCTAGCCCAACCCCCTTGCCTAGGCAGGAAAAAAACCCTAACCCACTTCAGACAAGTGGTAGTCCAACCTCTTCTTCAAAACTTCCAGTGGTTTCAGTATGGTCAGCTTCAAGCTAGATGGGGGGAAGATCAAAAATTTGGTGTTATGCAAAATGAGGAAAATCTGGTGAAACAGATTAGAGATCAAAGTCAGATGCATATTAAAAGGTTGTATAATGCATTATTGGAAATAGATTCAGAAAAGGAATTGGTTAAGGATTGTATGATAAAATGGGCACAAAACTTTCAGGAACCAGTGATGATGGAAACGTGGGAAAAGATTTGGGTCAGAAATGTTAAATTTACGCAAGCACAAAATTTGAGAGAGAATTTTTATAAAATGTTTTATAGATGGCACTTAGATCCTAAAAAATTATCATGTATGTACTCGAATTTGCAAGCTAAATGTTGGAGATGTGAATGTAATGATGCAACCTATTATCATATATGGTGGACCTGTAAGAAAATCAAGGCATTTTGGATAAAAATCTGGTGGGTGATGCAGAATATTCTGAAAAGAAGGTTGAAATTTACTCCTCAATTGTTCCTACTGGGTATAACGACGGACTGTACAGTATCAGAGACTAAATTGATTTTGAACTTAATATCAGCAGCTAGGCTGTTGGTAGCGCAATACTGGAAGAAGGACTCTTTGCCTACTATTGAAGAGTGGATACTGAAAGTAACGAACTTAGCAGAAATGGCGAAAATGTCAGCGTACTTGAAGGACTATACACAAGAAAGATATGTATCGGAATGGAGAAGATGGATTGATTATATTCAAAATAAGTATCAGACAAGAAAATATCAAATAGCTTATGAATGAACGTTAAGTATTAGAAGTATTATGTTATCTATATAGTGGAGTTAAGGTTTCAGGGGGGGGGAGTTAGTAGTCTGAGGATAAATAGGTTAATCTAGTTTATGATTGTTAAATGAAATACCTTGTATTTTGCTCTGGGAAGTCTGGGGGGGGGGGGAAGGGGGGGAATATGGGGAGGGGGGAAAGAAAATTCTTGTTTTTTTTGTAAAACTTTTCAATAGAAAAAAAAAACTTCCAGTGGTTGGGCAGCATCCTCAACTTCTGGAGGCAAGGCGTTCCGTATACCCTTCTCTAACCTGTAGGAAGCCACGTAAGGCGGGGGGTGTAGGGGGGGTGGAAGGCGGCGCTCCCCGAGCCCAGCCCCACGCGAGAAACGAAAGCGCGGCGCATCCAGGCGGGACCGGAGGAGGGCAAGAATCCAGCTGCGCAACGCCCAGCCCCGGTTGGATTCGCCCTAGCGCCGCACGTGGCCGCCTGCCCGCAGCCCCTTCCCCAGCCCAGCCGTCCGCTTCTCCCCTCCCACCCAGATATCGGCAGCCCAGCCACCGAGCCGCATCTTTTCTCGCTCTGTGTGTCTCGCTCGCTCGCTCGCTCGCTCTCCGGCCCGCAGCAACATCAAGAAGCAGCCGCGAAAGCATCGGAGACTCCAGCCGGGATGAAGGCGCCTTTGGCCATCCTCTTGGCCGCCTGCCTCTGCGTGGACGGCGGTGAGGCCTCTGCCCGGCCCCCCTTGAGCTCGCCAGCCCCTTCCCCTGCTTCTCTCCCCCTCCCCAAGCCTTCCTTTCCTGCCTTTTGCCCCCTCACCCAAAGCTCCCCCACCCCATCGCTCCCCTTCGCCTCTTGCGCGCCCGGGCGGGATGTGGAGCGCTCGCGCTCGCCTCGGGGCTGCGGAGCCCGGCGGCGGTGGCGGTTGGATCCAGGAGTTTCCCCAAAGGAATGGCGGGGTGGAGGGGGAGAGGGAAGGCGGGGTGGCTGGCGTTTTTCCTCGCTTCTTCCCGTGTTTGTTTCTTTATTTTTTTGTCCTCCTTGCTCGCTTCTTTCCTTCCTGTCTCCCTCCCTCGTTTATTTTTTCCTTCCTTGATTCCTCCCTCCCACCTCCCTCGTTTACTTTTATTGTTCGTTCGTTCGTTCGTTCCTTCCTTCCTTCCTACCTATTTATTTTTCCTCCCCTCCTTCGTTTCTTTCTTTCCTTCGTTTCTTTCTTTCCTTCCTTCCTTCCTTCCTTCCTTCCTTCCTTCCTTCCTTCTACCTACCTACCTATTTATTTTCCTCCCCCCTCCTTTGTTTCCTTCCTTCCTTCCTTCCTTCCTTCCTTCCTTCCTTCCTTCTACCTACCTACCTACTTATTTATTTTTCCTTCCCCTCCTTCGTTTCCTTCTTCCTTCCTTCCTTCCTTCCTTCCTTCCTTCCTTCCTTCCTTCCTTCTACCTACCTACCTACCTATTTATTTTTTTTCCTTCGTTTCCTTCCTTCCTTCCTTCCTTCCTTCCTTCCTTCCTTCCTTCCTTCCTTCCTTCTACCTACCTACTCCTTCTACCTATCTACTTACCTATTTATTTTTCCTCCCCCTTCTTCGTTTCCTTCCTTCCTTCCTTCCTTCCTTCCTTCCTTCCTTCCTTCCTTCCTTCCTTCCTTCCTTCCTTCCTTCCTTCCTTCCTTCCTTTCCTATCTACCCACCTCATTTATTTTCCTCCCTCCCATTTCTTTCTCTCCTTTCTTTCCCCTTCCCCCATTCCTTTTTCTCCCCCCCTCCTCCTTCTCTCCCTTTCCCTTAGCGAAGCTTCACAGCCTTCTAAACTCTGCTTAATGTATTGAGCTTCAGGTTGCTTAATTTTTCTCTGGAGAAGGGGGAGGGGGAGTCGCTGCCCCTCCTGGGATACCAGCAAGAGAAATGCTTTTTGCACATGGTCAGGGGCAGACCCTCTTCTGGATCACACTCCGCCGGCACCAGGTTCCCATGGCGGGTAGTCCTGGATAGGGGCCCGTTTTTTGTTGCCTTCCTTATTACTCAGCGCCAGTCTGCAGAAGGCCACCTGTCTGGGGAGGGGGGGGATCCAGGTGGGATTGCTGTTATGGAAGGCAAGGGAGCAGATTCCCATCGTCAGGTTCCCCAATCTGGAGAGCTTTCCCGATGAGGTGGAGAGGGTATATGTCTCTGTGTGGAGAGGGATTTGCCCCCAAGTTGGTTTTTCGTTATTGCAAATTCTCTTCTGTTTACCTTTATAAATAATGTGCCTTAAGTTGATTTCTTATTGTTTGTGGACCACTTCAGTAGACAGGAACAGAACCGAATAAAATGGTTAGAAGGGACCAAGGAGGCTTTATAATCCAACCCCCTGCTTTTGCAGGAGACTTTTGTCTAGACTAGGAGTCTCCATCCTTGGCAACTTTAAGCCTGGCGGACTTCAACTCCCAGAATTTCCCAGCCAGGCTGGGGAATTCTGGGAGTTGAAGTCCGCCAGGCTTAAAGTTGCCAAGGATGGAGACCCCTGGCCTAGATCATTCCGGACAAATGGTTGTCCACTCTCTTCTTGAAAACCTCCAGTGATGGAGCACCCACAACTTCTGGTGGCAAGCTGTTCCCCTGGTTGACTGTTCTCACTGTAGGAAGTTAGCACCCACCCCTTTCCTGGAAGAGTAAAATATTTTAGGAAATATGAAAAAGGCAGAATATTATATTTCCCTGGATGAGAAATGGAGAAGCATATTTTACAGACAAAGCAGCTCCCACCTTCCTGACCCCACCCTTTGTCAATGGGCCATTAAGGCCTGGGCCAGTCTACTCTACATAACAAAGATCTGCCTCCTTCAGGCAGAGCCATAGTAGGAATTGCCAAAGATCCAACAAAGATAGGAGGCTCCAACTGGTCCAGAATGCAGCAGCGCGGGTAGTGATGGGAGCAACATGGTGCTCCCATGTAACACCGCTCCTGCGCGAGCTGCACTGGCTCCCGGTGGTCTTCCGGGTGCGCTTCAAGGTGTTGGTCATCACCTTTAAAGCGCTCCATGGCATAGGGCCTAGCTATCTCCGAGACCGCCTGCTGCTACCGACGGCCTCCCATCGACCTGTGCGCTCCCACAGAGAGGGCCTCCTCGGGGTGCCATCAGCCAAACAATGTAGGCTGGTGACCCCCCGGGGGAGAGCCTTCTCTGTGGGGGCACCTACCCTATGGAACCAGCTGCCCCCTGAGATAAGGAGAATCCAAGACCTTGGTGCCTTCCGCCGTGCCCTTAAAACCCACTTTTTCCAGCAAGCCGGGCTGGCTTAAGAAGAAATTTTAAATGTTTTAATTGGTTTGTATTTTTAATTTTGGGGCCAAATTTATATATATATATTAATTGTTTTTTAATATTTGTATTTCATGTTTTTTAATTCTGGCTGTACACCGTCCTGAGTCCTCAGGGAGAAGGGCGGTATATAAATTGGAAATAAAATAAAATAAAATAAATAAATAAATACTCAGGTTCTCTGCTCAGGAGCTCAAGACATAACAAAAGGAGATAAGAGGCTTGGAGATGCCTCAAGGGCAGTAAAGGAAGCAGCTCTTCTTATCTAGGGATAGGCATGACATTTGGGATGCAATAAACAGTAAACAACAGGATTGTATCTTTTTAGGGTCAGTTTGCCCTTTTACAATTCTGTACCTACGTCAAATACCTTTTGCCAGCTTAGCACCTTGGCACGGAAGAGGCACTTCTGTCTTGACCAAAGATTTAGAATTATAATATTTGAATTTTGTCCCAATATCGGATCTTAGCCTAGCTCAGTACGGATGTTGGGAGTAACCAAGGAGAGAAGCAACCTAGAATTAAAGAGGAACTTCCTAACAGTGAGGACAATTAACCAGTGGAACAGCTTGCCACCAGAAGTTGTGGGTGCTCCATCACTGGAGGTTTTCAAGAAGAGAGTGGACAACCATTTGTCCGGAATGATCTAGGCCAGGGGTCTCCATCCTTGGCTTAAAGTTGCCAAGGATGGAGACTCCTAGTCTAGACAAAAGTCTCCTGTACATAACAAAGATAAACAAGAAAACTCTGCTTCCATTGTAGACATACTTAAATGCTTCTGTCTTATTGAATGCCACCATAACAAAGATTTCCCCCGAAATACAGCGATTCCTGAGGTTGATTTTCTTGTATTCACATCTGTTGCGAAACTAGCATCTGCATAAGCGGTTACATGCAATTCTTCTGATGGTTGTAGATACAATGCATGATGCATGGTATATTTCAGATATCTAAGAATACGTTGCTCCTTGCTCCTTGCCAGTGTCTTTCTGTAGGTTCCATGTTGAATCTAGCTAATTGGTTCACGCTATAAGAAATATCGGGTCTAGACCAATTGCTAATGTATGATAAACTGCCAATCAACGATTGGTATATCCCTTTATCAAACAACGGACTTTTCACATCAGTGTTGCAATAATCTTGAACCATAGGTGTCTTTGATGGTTTACACAAGTCCATTCTGAACTGTTTTAATAGATTATTAATTTTATCAGTTTGGGATAATTTAAATCCTCCCCTAGTTTTTTCGATCCTTACACCTAGGTATTGTTGTATCTCCCCTAGATCTTTAATCCTAACATGAGCTTTTAATTCATCAACAATCCTGTTGGCCTCTTGTTCATTCGTGGTAATCAGAGCTATATCGTCCGTAAAAAGAAGTAATAATGATACTATACCATCTCTTTCCATTTTAAATAAACATGGATCTGCTAATCCTGCTTTAAATCCGATATTCTTCAATGTTTTTACAACGCGCTGGTTCCATTCATAACCTGACTGTTTTAACCCGTACAGACTTGTCTTTAATAACCAACAGTTTCTTTAAATAAATTTCATGCTGTAATGGTGCATGCAGATATGCGGTCTCTACCTCTAAATGGGTAACTATATATTTATTTCCAGCTGCCCATACCAACGCTGCGCTTAATGTAATGGCTTTTAAGCTTGGAGCGAATACTTCGTCGTAGTCATTAGGAGACTGATTAAATCCTTGAGCTACTAGCCTAGCTTTATATATTGAAATCCCATCTATCCCAGTCTTTAATTTATATACCCACTTACTACCAAGCATAATTTTCCCTTTTGGAATCATTACAGGCTCATACACTTTCAAATTCTGCAAAGATTGGAGCAAGTGAACACATTCATCATGTGGTTTGACATTTGAGTACGCAACATTTGTAACATGGTTACTAGATAAATACATATAAACCATCTTGCATTGGCATTTTTTGGCTGCCGCCGCACACTGCTGGCTCATATTCAAGCGATTGTCCTCTAGGACTCCCAAGATCCTTCTCACAATTACTGACATTAAGCCAAGTTTCACCTAGTCTGTACCGACACAGTTGATTTTTTTCTTACCCGAGTGTAAAAAAACTTACTTTTATCTACATTGAATTTCGTTTTTTTGGATAGGACGCGTTGTTCAAGTCAGGCAAGATTTTTTTTGTATCTTGAATTTGACTTCCAGGGTGTTGGCTATTTCTGCCAGCTTAATGATGTTTATAAATTTCATGATTTCCTCTTCTCTACCCTCATCTAGATCTTTTATGAAGGGGTTGAAAAATATTCAGTCCAAAAAGGAACTTCGGGGTTCTCCATTGCTTACTTCCCTCCATGTAGATGTAGTTCCGTGGAGGACTACACGTTGAGTATGATTTATCAGCCAGTTACAAACTCCTCTGGGGGTAGTGCT